CCCCAAAACCCCAAAACCCCAAAACCCCAAAACCCCAAAACCCCTGAACAAAAACTCAAATAAAAGAGAATTCTAATACTATTAAAAATATGTTCACCCTCTCTAAGGTGCTCCCAAAGATGGGACCAAAATCTTTAAGAACTGCTTTTAGAGTTCCCTCTGCTGCTTTCTCTACCTTCCCAATGCCAATGGAAGACCTCGACCTGAAGAACAGAGATCCAGTCTTTTATGAACTGCTAAGAGCAGAAAATGCTAGACAGGAAGCCTGCATTACTCTCACAGCATCTGAGAATTTCATATCCAAAGCTGTCATGCAAGTTGTTGGTTCACCTCTCTCTAACAAATACAGTGAAGGATATCCAGGACAAAGATATTATGGAGGATGCATGATAATTGATAAGATGGAGATTCTTTGCCAACAGAGAGCCATGGAAGCCTACGGAGCCGACCCTGACAAGTGGAGAGTCAACGTGCAGCCTCTCTCTGGTGTTCCAGCCAACCTCGGAGTTTACACTGCCATGCTCAAGCCTGGAGGCAGACTCATGGGTCTCGACTTGACCAGCGGTGGCCACCTGTCTCACGGGTTCCAGAGTCCATCGAAGAAGGTCTCAGTCACAAGTCTGTTCTGGGAGAGCAGATCTTACGGGATCACTAAGGATGGATATATTGACTACGACGGGGCTTATGAGATCGCTCAGGAGTATAAACCAGAGTTGATCATTTGTGGATATTCAGCTTATCCAAGAGATCTTGACTATAAAAGATTCAGAGAAATTGCTGACAGTGTTGGAGCATACTTGCATGCTGATTGCTCCCACTTCTCAGGACTCCTTGTATCTGGACTTGTGAACTCTCCATTTGAGTATGTTGACTTTGTAACATCCACTACAAACAAAACCCTTAGAGGACCAAGAGGGGGTTTAATCTTCTCTAGAAAAGAATATTCGAAAACCATCGATGATGCTGTTTTCCCAAAACTTCAAGGAGGACAACATAACCAAAATATTGGTGGGACAGCTGTAGCACTTCATGAAGCTTTACAGCCAGAGTTCAAGGAGTATTCTAAACAAATTATCAAGAACGCTAGAAGGTTAGCTGATGCTTTAATGAAGAAGGGTCACAAACTTGTGACAAATGGAACTGACAACCATATCGTCTTGTGGAATCTTCGCCCTCACAAGTTAACTGGATCCAAGTTTGAAGCTGTAGCTAATGCCACCAATATCACTCTAAACAAGAACACAATTGCTGGAGACAAATCTGCATTGACTCCTTATGGTATCAGGCTTGGAACTCCTTGCTGCACTACCCGTGGATACAAGGAAGAGCACATGGACGAAGTCGCCGAATTCTTAGACAGAATGCTTAAAGAGTCCCTTAAAATCCAAAAGCAAACTGGTAAGAAGCTCGTAGCATTCAAGAAAGGAGTAGACGAGAGTGAAGAAATGCAAAAGATTGCCAGTGACGTGGCTGAGTTCGCCAAACAGTTCGATCACCCAGGGCTTAAAGTATAAAGATTCTCCATTTCTCAACCTCATTTTATATTTAAGGGGTTTTGGGGTTTTGGGGTTTTGGGGTTTTGGGGTTTGGGG